TGGAACTAGTACATGTTGGCGACGGTGTGCAGCTGCTCGATGGAGAGCTCGTTCAGGAAGGACATCTCCGCGAAGAACTTCGGCTTGCGCGACGAGCGGAGCATCTTGTAGGCGTAGAACGAGCGGACCCATTGGCGCCACATGCGACGATGGTCCTCGCTGGCCGCAGGGCCGTAGATCGCGTCGCGAAGGGTCCGGATGAGCCCCAGGCGTTGGGCGATGCCGTCGAAGGCGCACCTACGGGCGTAGTTGGAGTAGAAGCCGGGCTCCGACGGGTCCCAGATGACTCGTGCGCGGACGTGCACCTCGTGAATCACAGTGCGTCGGTAGCTGTCGGTGTAGCGAACCATTGGACTGAAAGCACGTTGGAGTACGTGAAATAGGGGCGCTTTGTGCAAGTATTTTGTGGTTCAAACCACTTCCAATGGACGTTCAAGACATTTTGTGTTCACTTTATTTCATGCAATACAATAGTGTGGGCAAATTATGCGTCCTCTTCCGGATTCTGTGTTGCCTGCGTCGGCTGGTAGAAGACGCGCTCTTCTTGCCAATCCACAGCCCCTTCGCCGCTGAACCACTCGACCAGCATCTGGCGCACGTCGCTGGCGCTGCGCGGGCTTCGGTTCGCCATCGGAACTCGCATTTGCGCCTGACGCAACGTGCATGCCGTTGCTGCGTCCTCCATCGAGAAGCGAGCGCAGAACGGCTCGCGAACGTGTTCCCCGTCGCTAGGTACCGTAGAGTGATGAAGAGCCTCTCTGCCGGACCGATTGGCTCCCGGCGCGACCTCTTCTCCAGCCTGGAAATGCACATTTCATATGCGAAAATGAACGTTTTCCTTTAACGTTTTTTCCAATTTTCCTTTGCACGTCCCTTTTGGGACGAATCGCATACCTGGGACCGACGAGGACGAGCAGCTTGTCGAATCGCGCCTCGTCCATGCGAAGGTGGCGTTGGAACCGTCCCGGGTCCGCTTTCAGCTTCGCGAACTGCGTGTGGAACTGACCGTGCCGCTTCCGAGTTCTGTTGATGGGGTGAACGCCGAATCGGCGCTTCTTCAGGCGCCTCAGCAAGCGGTACATTGCGCATATGAGCAGCGTGCGCCGGACGGAGACCATTTCAAGGCTCAAAATGGTGGTTCGGCTCGGGAAACAAGTAAGTACGGGTAAAAATCGACATGCGATGCGAGAAAAATGAGCCCCACGCCCGTCCCGGTGAAGCAAACAAGACGCGGATGGTCGGAAAGGAAGCGAGGAGGGCTGCCGTCCGTGCAGGAGCCCGTGCGATCACCCAGTAGAGGCCTACTGGCCTCAGCGACGCTCAGCGACGACTCAAATTTTCAATTGCGAATGAAACCCCCAGCGACGACTTTTCCCGTCGCTGCGACGCCTAGCGTCTGCTCGTCGCTGACCCCCTCACAATTCGTCGCTGACACCAAAAATCGCCAGCGATCACCCATTTTTCGTCGCTGGAATTGTACGGGGTCCGTCGCCAGCGTCTGCGATTTTTCCGACGCTGGCGACGACGCTCAGCGACGTCGCTGAAAAAATCGCGAATTGTACGGGGTCCGTCGCCAGCGATTTTCGACGTCGCCGGCGCTAGCGACTAATTGTGCATCCAGCCTAACACTATGCGAATTCTTTTCAAGGATCTCTCGCTCCACAACCAAGCGAAGACGGCGCACGGGCAGCGACTCCGGAGATCGCCTTGCCAGGTGTGGACCTGCGTCCTCTTTCTGGAATCATCCCTCCGCTGCAAATCACCTTCGTAGAAGACAGGTTTTGTGCCACCACTAAATCGATAACTTCGTTATGAACTATTGGTATTTCGCTTGCGTGGCCGGCATTCAAAAATGCAATTTCGAAAGTATAGCTTCATCAAAATTCATTATCCGTCGGCAAAGTATGCAAGAAGTACCTTGAGCTAACCCGAAGTGTTCACTGGCAGGGGGAATTTTAAAAAAATAAAATATGCGGAAAACCCCTTACATACATAGCCTCTTTAAAAAGTCGCTGCGTTTGCCTGCGGCGCGCTAAAAGGCGGATTCCTTCAGAAATCGCAAACTTTTTTTAAATCTGCCAAATTTTAATGGGCGCCTACGCCGGCATTGCTAACAATCTCGCTAAGTAAAAAAAAAGTAAGAATAGCTTTGAACTTCGCTGAAATAACAGTTAAGTCTTAAACAGTTAGGTACCAAAAAAGTGACATTAGCAAGCGCATCATACGGAGCCAAAGGTCGGCTCCATGGCAACTTCAGTGGCTCATTAGTTGCTTAGTACAAATAGCATGCCGCGAGAGGACTAATTCACGATGTTGCGACAGGAATGGGTTTGCATGTATTCTTGACCAGTCATGTTGCTTGTGACAAATGGTTGGTTCAAGTCATGTTTCCTCTCTTTTGCTGTTGTTAGCATTTCCTGAGCTAGATTCTGTACTGGACATTGCATGCGTGTGCCATTATTTTAGCGGTAAGGCTGAAATGTGGTAAACATACCCTATGCTTTCGCACAGCATATCGTCACTGCTAGGTATTTGAAACGATTATTGGCGGGATTCACTGCCACCGTGTTCTAGGATTATCGTCAGCAAGTCTTCCTCGTCTCGGACCCTTAACCTTAGCCCTAGGATCCGGGAACTTTTTCGACTACGGGAAACTGAAGGAAGCGTAAGTGCGTAGTGCACTGAGTAGGGCTGGGGATTCGGATACGGAAATTAGGTCATTTTGCATCGGATTCGGTTTTCAAAATTCGGGCTATTTCCCAATATTTTAACCGACCAATTTGGAAGCTTGAATCTTTTACTGATCAAAGATGATCGCAAAAAGTAACGACGTTAGGGAGAAATAGAAGTCGATGTTCTTGAGGAAAATTTGATTTAACGCTGTCCTGGACATTTACTTCATGGTTTGGTCAACAATAAAATCTGCTTCAAAAATTCCGATTCGGGTTCGGAAAAATTCGGCCATTTTGCTTCGGATTCGTATTCGGTTTATATTTGGAGAGTCCCTTCCCCTGGCACAGAGACTTAGTGTTTTTCATTTTTTATTGAATACACCCATAGCTGTCAGCCTATTATGGGTGCTAACACAATTTCGTCGCTCCTTTCTCCTCTGCCATGATTGGGCCTAAGTAGGATCACTATGCAAAAAGCACCCTGTGAAACTACGGGAATTTTTGGACGTAAATTTTCAAGTGGCCTGAGGCCTAGTGAATAATGTGTAGAAGAAACGCACATCGCCACCGACAGTTCCTGATAGCCAGTAGCAAAGCTTACTAAACAACGTTAGTTCGGTTCCACGGTTGTGCAGGACACCGTCGTCCATGGCTTCTGTCAAGTTTTAGTTCGTACGCGCGCAGCTGTAAATCTCGCAGTGAAAACGATAAAACCGACAACAATAGATTTTCGATGGAATTTAGGGAGCTTCCAGAAAATATGTAAGCATTACATCGCCTTTTCTTACCTTACCCGGAAGGGGGGGGGGGTCTGACCCCCCTGTAATATTACACCTGTAAAATCGGGTTCTAAACTGCCCAAAGCTGGGAATCTTAAACGTATGTGATGGGGGACGCTTTGGTAGGCTCAGAAGGGACGTTATTTACCTTGTTGAATTATTGATTTGCATCAAGATGTCTTGGGAAAAATCTCTGGCAAAAAAACAAGAAAAATTTGGTCAATAAGACGAAAAATTTTCTAAAAAGTAACTGTTGTCCCGTGCCCGCCCTTCGCCTTTCTTGTCTCCGCCTTATTTACATCAGCGGCGCCATGGAGGCGGCTCCGCCACGGGCACGTTCCATCGCCTGACCCCGGGTCACTCCGATCGGTCCACGTAAGCGCTGGCGGCGCGACGATCTCCGGTGGTCGCGTCGTCCTCATGCACTCTTAGGTGTCGCATGCATGCATGCGGACGAGCCCGCGTAACAAGGTGTTTTTCCGCCGCTAAAACTTTGTCTCCGGAGGCTTGACTCTTCGTGTCGCGTGCTGGCATTTTCTGAGAGTCATTTGTGCTCAGCAGCGGACGTTCAGTCCGTTGAAGCATCACTAATCTCGCATTTATAAAGTGCCCGGGTTGTACGGGGATGTTTATGATCCATGGCTATGAGATTTGTGCGTGTTTCAACAACTATTTGCCGAGGCTAGTTTTGTTTGGCTCCTTGAATCGCGGAGACCGATGTTTTTATCAGAATGAAGATATTGATACAAGGGCAACCAGAATAGGCGTTCACCGTTATGTGCGACCACTACAGGTTTTTAACCGTCAGTTACCGCAATGCTCATTCCGTACCTATTTAACGCAGCGCTGAATATTCCAGAGGCGCTTCGATGCGACAGCATTCCTGTTTCAATTGCAGAAGTGAAGTTATCAAGTCTTCGGGCTGGTTAGGAGAATCATGGAAGCAGCCGTCAGCAGCAGCGGTATGTGACTCGATCACCTGTCGGGGTCCAAATATAATCACTGGATACGAACTTCGGAGGAAGGATGGAAATGCCATGTGTTGCTTTACACCGGATGTTTTAGAACTTCCTCTAGCCAGAGAGAGGACCCGGCTTAAAAGGGCTGGAGGGGGAAAGGCAAACTAGTGGTAGATAATGTGACAGACGTGATAGATAGGTAGTGATAGGCAGATTTCCTATGACATATGTAACAACGAGTGTTGCCCAGTGAAGGAGAAATTCAACATTTTATTCGAACTCGTCCGAGGCACGTGTGAAGAATTACGTGAATTTGAAGGGGCTTAAAGCTTCAAAATATTTTGATGATCCTTTTCACTCCTTATTGGCGGAACTTTTACAGGTATTTGTCACAATGGTTTTTGGTGTCTGAAGGTTCAGCCATCCACTCTGGGAACATTCTGTGGCTGTTTCTTAGGACCATCGAATGTGGACAAGAAAATCTTGTGGATGCTTCAATTTGCGTAATTGTGAGAAATGGACCAACGGCCAGCGATCGACCACCGACCACCGACCGAATGCGGGCGCCCCCAACGCACTCGACGTCGCCTGGACCCGTGGCGTAGTGGATAGCGCTGCGGACTTCTTAATCTATTCTTCCTTCAGGTACGTTCCTGGTTCGATTCCCGCGCACGGGTCCACATTTTTTCGCGGACGCCAACTCCTGGGGCAGCGACAAGTTCCCAACATAATCAAAAACGGTGTACACAGTACCGCTGGCAACTAACTGGTCTTGAGATTAGGCAAAGTAGAAAAAATAGCTCAATATTTCAGAACTGGTACCTAGTCTTCGTCTTATTATTGGTCAGAACTATGGCAGTGTTGGCTGCCGCTGTCGGCTTAATGCACGCGTGGTAGGCTTTTCACTAAAGCGTGCATAGCGGTCCCTGGGTTTGCTTAGGTAAATCGGCTTGGCCATTCGCCTGGCGAACTTCGTAGCTTCGGCGGCACATCCGTCGCTTGGTGCATGCACTTCTGCTTTTTTAGCCGAGACAATAATGTTCCGCGAAGAGCTTTTGTCTTGCTTTTGTACAAAACTCATTTTTATTTCTTTTTGTTAAATAAAATATGCACCGAGATGCATCATAAATAAAATTACATTTTTATAATATATTTATATACAAGTATTCCCATTTACCGTTAATATGTCTACATAGAGAGCTTACGATACTCGTACTCTTCAAAATATAAGTACCGCATTTTCTCTAATTACCCCGGGGGATGAATTTAAAATTTGACTTCTGGGTCGGGGGATAATTAGGGTGGGGAAACAAGTTAAAGGGGGGGGGGGAATAAAAAAAATTCAAGATATATGGGCCGAAGGCCCGAAAATTTGGGGAAATTTCCGGAAACAGCTGACCAATTTCGTTCATTTTTGACTTCTGTTCTGTTCTTTTTGTATATTTATGCACAAATATGCATTAATCAGGCTTCGGAATACCTAAAAACCGTATTTTCTCTAATGATTCCTCCGGGTGAATTAATTTTCGATCAACGAATTTCGGGAAATTTCAGAAATTCGGCTGGTCATAACTTACTTGTTTCTTGCCCGTATGTCACGCTCTCCGACTTAAAAGGCTTGCTTTACCGTTATCTATCCAAAAACGGCCTTGGTTTGGTAGTAACCGTTGCCCCAGCCCAGCTGCCAATTTTTGGGGAGGGGGGGGGGTCTATTAGAGGGGGAGGTCTAATAGAGGGAGGTGATTTATTAGGGAAAATAAGGTAGCTTAAAAAGTGGCATTGAATTGAAAAAATGGTTGAAAATACGGAAAAATGTACAATTTAGGTCTCCGGGAGGGGAGAAAATTAGAGGGGGGAGATAATAAAAAAAGTCGGCCTCCAGGTGGGGGGGGGGATAATTAGAAGGAGAACAGTTAGCGGGGGAGGGTGAAAATTAGAGAAAATACGGTAATCCAAAACCCCAGAAGGCAGGCTTTTCTATGGCCCGTCAGCAAGCTTTTTGTTTGAGTTTCCATCAATCGACTCACATCTGTACGTACATGGTTCAGTAAACGATGTCCGTAAAGATGTGTTTATTATTGGAGCAACTTTTTGAGTGTATGGTAGCGGTGACGCCCCTTCCGTGATAAGCCATGTTAACGAGCGGTCTCAGCTCCCGCTTATCACGTGCAGCGCATCGGCGAACATCCTTCGTACGAGAACGCATTCGCACTTGCGCCCCAATCCGTCGGCGTCGTCAGTATCGTGTGCTTTGGGATCGATTCTCGCGTTGATTTTTGCGTTTACTCAATTTGTTTGCCCTTTTTAGATTTGGACGTATATTTCCTGTGCTTAATTTTGGGACAAGTGATACTGAAGTGTAGCGCCGATAGGTGTGGCAAATAGTTCCCTTGTAATCGTGAAGACTCTGGTGGATGCCAGAAATAATTTTCTAGGTCCAGCAGCGTTCAAGTACCAAAAGCCAGATAAGAAACCAGATTTTGACGGCATTAAGGAGTTTGATCAAAAGCCCGCGTACTTATTGCTAATGCTCGAAAGACGGTCATTTGGCAGCTCGTCATCATTTACATCCAAGGCGCTCGTCATAGCTTTACGGTAGCCGGACTTGAACGTTTTGCAAAGTCGGCACTTGCTTATATTCTGAAACGTCTATTATGGGAGCACTTACGTCGTTTGATCCGCCGAAAGTTGGCGAGGTCCGTGCCCGTGCCTGTGCTTGAATCTTTCAAACGGCTTTCATTTCGGATATATTGCTGCGGCACTCTTTCTCAGTCAAAATAGGTATTTTCACTATAGTGTCGGCCTTATCCATAAGTCCATAAAACAATTGACAAATTTCAAAAATATGTCACTAACTTATAACAAAAACAGCGGCTGCGCTTGGCAAAAATAAAATAAAAAGTTTGCATAAAGTCAACGAAATTAATATTCAGCTCAGATTTCAGCTCAAACCGAAAGCCGCGTGGATTCTCTTTGTAATGTTTTCCGAAAGCGGAGCATGCATGATATATTCTAGTAACTTCAGAAATCAATTAGCATATTTCGCCAGTACATCCAAAGATTCTTTTTTCTTCGAAATTTTAGAAAACCTGATTTTCTTCGCGACGACAAAGCGTTATTGCCTGAAAAATAGTTGTGCATTTTTGGTCGCAGCCATCGAGGGCAACTGTGATGCGAAAATAGCCCGAACCAAACCGCTGAGCAGGGATGCGTTCTGATCGGATTTTCAATTCAGAATTCAGAATGTCAAAATCAAATTCAGAATTCAGAGTTCAGAACCGCCAAAAACGTCAGAATTTTCAGAATTCAGAATCAGAATTTGGTACTTTGCCAAAAAGGGAGCGTCCACATACTGTGTAATCATTCCAGGTGGTGGGTAGGGTCGGGCAAGTTGTTATACTTCATACAACATACTACAGGCTGGCGGGAGCGTGTAGGTCGAGGTTAACCGAGTGCAGGAGCCCGGTGCTGGGGGCTCGTGGCCGTCCCCCCGGCCCACGCGGGGGCCCGGCCCTAGGGTGAGCGGGGTCGGGTCCAAGGCACGGGGCCGAAAAACCGCCGGGGGCTGCACGCAGTGCCCGAGCATTACCACTTTTTCGGACCATTACCATTACCATTACCATTACTTCAATTTGGAAGCATTACCATTACCACCATTACCATAACCATTACCTCGGGCACTGGCTGCACGGGGCCCAGATTGGAAGCAAGAGGACTGAGGGCCGGGGACTGGAAGCCGGCTCACGGCCCCGAGGACAGCCGCGGGGCCAGTGTGTGTATATGACGGGGGCTGCGGCCGGGGCCTGGAGCCCGACCGCCAAGGGGTGAGGGCCGGATTCACTGGGCGCCGCAAATTTTTGGCCGAGCTAACGCTTACGTACCCGAGCTTAGGTTGCCAGCGCTAAAATCGGCCCGCCGCTAGGCGCCGCCCAGAGCGAATTTGGCTGTATTTCTCATCTTTGTACCTATAATTTTGTTAAAATAAGTCTAAAATTCGACCGTGCGGCGCCTAGCGGCGGGCCCATTTTACCTAGTGCAAAGAGTCTCCCAAAATGTCATTTTACATAGTGCTTCTTCTGACATTTTGGCCCTTTTTCAGAATTCAGAATTCAGAATTCAGACTGGTCAAAAACGTCGGAATTTTCAGAATTCCGAATCAGAACCCATCCCTGCCGCTGAGACGACACTAAAAATAGGACAAATGCTGGAAAAATGATATATCCGGACGCGGCGAGGAATATCGCTTCCGCAATGGTTGCTTCTCCCGCGGAGAAAAAGTGTGCTCCTTCAGCTTACGCACTCGACCGTGCAGGGAAGAAAGATTTCTCATCTATCTTGAGACAAAAGTTTATCGCTTATTTGTCACCAAAGCCGATTTTTGACTCCCCCTCCCCCTTGTTAAGAATTGT